TCTTGTCTATACTACTAATATATCCTTACATTATGAGTTTCAAAGCATTTCATCAAAAAATAGAAAAGTTAAGTCAATATACCTTATATTGGCCATTTAACGTGTTGCACGTGCTCGCTCTTGCAAGCACGTGCGCGCAAAATGACCTTCGTTCGGCAAATCTACATAACATCCCTAGTGACCCTAAAAAGGTTTTACCTAAGTCGGATGTGTAGTTTACAAGATCACTCAAAGACAAAATTTTCCCAGGAATAATAATAATAATAATAATAATAATAATAAGAAACAGAGTAAAAACAATATGTTCCCCAACTTCGTTTGGGGAACATAAATAGCATTGTTTGACTTTCCCGTAATAACTGCTGGGAGAATTACGTCATAGAGACTGTATTACGTTCCGCTAATTATGACGTCATAGAAGGCGTTACTATGTGACAGTTAAAAAACTTGATTGTAAAGCATCTGAAGATTTTTAAATGAAAGCGCTAATGCTTTACTTTGTTGTCTTCGTGTTTTCTTTTTAATTATTTTTTACTATATATATATATATATATATATATATATATATATATATATATATATATATATATATATATATATATATATATATATATAGTGCTGCTAAACAATAGAACTTCAAGATAATTTATAGTTTTTAATATGTTTTGTGTACCCCTGACAGAGCCCCTTAATTGAGTGTGATAATTACTTGTTGTTTTTTCCGAGTAGCCATTCAGGGAACACACCCATTTGTGGTATTTTTCCATTATATTAAAATACAGAGAACAAATATCTTCATTTCTGTATGAAGTTTGTCAGAGGTCAAAGGTCAATACGTGACCTAATCACCGGTCTACCGGTACATATATTATAGAAATGACTTACTCTACTTAATTTTCATGTATAAAAATGAACAAAATAAGCAAGTAAAATTATAATAATTATATTTAAAATGTAGACAAGTATTTAATACAGTTTTTTTTAGCTAGTTCGATTCAACCTGTGTACATAGAGGATATATACCGGAAAAAAACTTGCCTAGCCTTTGTTTACAATTTTTCACTTTTGTCAGCTGCGCAGTCTCTAATGTTCATCCTTATTTTTAAGGTCTTCCGTTTCCAACGGAAGACCTTCTACTGATTCTGATGATTAAGATTATTAAGGTTTTCCGACTTCCTTCGGAAGACCTTATTGTTATTCGTCTGTTTTTTATTATTATTATTATTATTTTTCTTTTTTCATAGTTAGGGCGATATCTCAGCTGTACGTGGACGGATCTGAAAGATTTTCACAGGGATGATGCATCATGAGAATATCTCCAGACGTGTTTTTCATTTTTTCGAAATTCACTTTCGTTCGCGATTTTTGGGGATTTTTGTATTTTTTAAAAGGCATTTTGTCCAGCAGTTTTCTCGAGAACAGCTAAAGATATGAAAGTGAAACTTACTGAGGTGATAGAACATCGAACTGCATTATGGGGAACGACCTTTATTTTTCGTCGTCGGTACTTTCGGTCGCAAACGGAAGTGAATTCAAAAAGTCTCATTTCTCAACTTTTTTGTTTTTCAATATTTTTCTTAAGAATTTACAGGGTTTATAGTGTGTCTTATGAGAATTCTAAATATGTGTTCAGTATCTTGATGCGTGCATTTATTGAAAAGATATGACCGAACCAAACTTTGTCCCACTGTCGGGGGTTCGAATCCCGCTGGCGGCGTTCCCAAAATTTTTTCTTTGTTTCTGTCATTTTTCAATTGCAAATGACTTTTCTTACTTTTATAACATGTATGAAATATTTTGCCGATTTTTAAAAACTATATTTAAAGATATTTTGAGGTTTACCTGTAATTGTCATGATATATGTTGAGAGACTGCTGTAAATAAACGTAAATGAAAAAAATGCATTCTGGAATCTATTTCATGGGATGACGCAGCATAGATCTCTAACGAAAAGTCGGTCGGAAGACCGCTTGTTGCTCTAGCAACAAGAACGCATCTAGTTCTTATTATTCTTTTTTTTTTTCCTTTTCCTAGACGCCAACGTTGAGGCCTCATATTTCACTCATTTCTCAATGGATTTTGCTCAAATTTTCAGAGTTTATAGACGTTACTAAACTCTATCCGAATGCTATCTAAAATTTCAAAAAGTCACTTCCGGTTTTGAGTTATTTCCCTTTAAACGAAAATTTATAGGCTTTCGTTTCCAGACTTAGGCTCAGAGACGGCTAAAGCTGGAGCAAAAATTTTACTGATTTTAGATAATACAAGGATTGAAGTTGTGCATAGTGGTTCTTGTTTTTCGATTTCTCTATTCAAAATGGTGCTATATAGGGGTCAAAAATTAGAACACCTAAAAGAGCGAAAATTTACACATATTTTGCTTTTTATCTTCTAAACTAAAAATATTTTGTCAAAACATATAGGACAAAATTTGTGCAGAATTACAAGATCTTTTAAATGATATCTCGAAAAAAGGGCTGACCCCTAAATTAAGGGATCTAGAGGGCCAAAAGTTTTTTCCAGATATCTCAAAAAGTATTGAGAATTTGTAATACATCTAAGAAGCAAAGTTGTTAAAAATGTCAAGCTCAATCTATTGAACTCGTCAAAATGCGTCCGGCGACATCACTTCCGGTCAAACCGGAAGTAGTCAGAAAATGCATATTTTTGCCGTTCTTGACAAGTTTTTGGGTAACATATGTCACTGGAAGCATAAAACTTAATTTTCCATCCATCGACATCACTTCTGGTCAAACCGGAAGTAGCCAATAATAGTTTATTTTTTAAGGTTTTGATGCAAAATTGAAATTATAAAGTGACTGGAGACGACTAAGCTCATTGCTTTCTTTTGTTGACGTCACTTCCGGTCAAAACAGGACGGAAGACCTACTCGTTGCTTTGCAACGAGCTTTGCTCTAGTTTGGGTAGACCTTTTGTTCATTTTTCATGATAAACTATTATTTTTTCATTAAATTCTACTCACGATAAAATCTGTTGGAAAATATCATTGCAATAACACCATGAACAGATGTGGAACGCCATGGCTGCCCTATGTTAGATGATTTTATTATATGATGTGGTTCTAATATTATATGCTATGGTTCTATAATTATATGCTGTGGGTTTGTAATTATATGCTGTGGGTTTTTTTGTTATATGCTGTGTCTCTATAATAATATATTGTGGGTCTATTATTATATGCTGTGGGTCTATTATTATATGCTGTGGTTCTATAATTATATGCTGTGGTTCTATAATTATATGCTGTGAGTATATTATTATATGCTGTGGATCTATTATTATATGCTGTGGGTTTATAATTATATGCTGTGGGTCTATTATTATATGCTGTGGATCTATTATTATATGCTGTGGTTTCGTTATTATATGCTGTGGGTCTATTATTATATGCTGTGGGTTCATAATTATATGCTGTGGGTCTATTATTATATGCTGTGGTTTTGTTATTATATGCTGTGGTTTCATTACTATATGCTGTGGTTTCATAAGTATATGTTGTGGTTTCATTATTATATGCTGTGGTTCTTTATTATATGCTGTGGTTTCATTATTATATGCTGTGGTTTCATTATTATATGCTGTAGGCTCATAATTATATGCTGTGGATGTATTATTATATATTCTGTCGGTTTATTAGAAACTAGCTTTTCGAATCAGGACTTCTCGTTTTTGGAGGTTACTTGCTCAATATGTCGGCAACTGCAACAGGGCTTACCGTAATAGGAATGAGATTATCAAATCCCGGATGAGCACATGGATTTATTTGTGGTGCTACAAACCCACAGCATATAATAATGAACCCACAGCATATGATAATGAAACCACAGCATATAATTATGAACCCACAGCATATAATAATGAACCCACAGCATATAATAATGAAACCACAGCATATACATGTAATAATGCAACCACAGCATATAACAGTAGACCCACAGCATATAATTATAAACCCACAGCATATAATTATAGATCCACAGCATATAATAATAGACCCACAGCTTATAAGTATAAACCCACAGCATATAATAATAGATCCACAGCATAATTATGATTATAGAACCACAGCATATAATTAAAAACCCACAACATATGATTACAAACCCAAAGCATATAATTACAAACCCACAGCATAAAATCATCTAACATAAGACAGCCATGGCGTTCCATAAACCGGCGACAAACACCTCGGCGTTGTCGTACTTCAATGTAAGCTGTCGTCAGTGTTTCCGTGTTTACTTCATGACATTAATATGCCTTTAGTTATTGAAATCGTTGATTGTTTTTGATCAATTTTAATACTTGATTGCAAATTAACTGGCTCGGACAAGTGTCTGCATTCATCGGACCCATCCATCCCTTTCCAGAGACCGAAATTCCTCCAACTTTTCATCATCAAACTTCGGACGTGTTTCTTGCGTGTTTTTAGCATCGATTATCAATTTTCACGAATAGAAATATTCCCAATTCCACAATCTGTTCACTATTACTGATCACAAGTAGCCTTTCACAAAATATTTCCTTTGAAATTGATTCCTTAGCATAGTGAATTCGAAGCGTAACCGCCTTTCAAGCCGATTTACCCCCCTGCATACTTCTGTCGGAAATCTACGGCGACCGGTTAGTGTGCAATATTTGTATCCAAATATATTTAATTGTCCATCTCATATGTATATATAAGTAATAAACAACAAGTTTATAAATGAAGTGAGTCGGGACGTGATCAAATCTTCTGAGAAGGCCTTGTTATTTATTTCTTAAGTATTCAATTTCAAATGTCCATACACACAATACAAATTAGGAGCAGAGAAAAATATGGATCTCTAAAACATCAGAGGCGGGATCGGGTGCCATGGAGGAGTGAGCACCCCCTGCCAACCTGTCACAAACGCAGTCATGAACGAGAAATAACGGAAAAATCGGTCTATTGTACAAAGTAAAGAAATATTAAATCATCTCATTATTATTTTATTCCGCAGATGATTGGACTTTTCTTCTCCATTTTGTTGCTTCTTCACACAGTAGAGGGAAAAACACAGGTCGGAACTTGTAAAAGATTGTTACAGGGCTATCTTACAGGACAACTGTCGTCTGCTTTAGAGATAGAATTTCTGAAGCAGGAATATAGAAGGTTCACAGAGGTTATTGAGAAATCTGTGAAGAAATTAGAGGGACGGGTTAATGCAAGTTTCAGAAAGGAAGGTACTGTGTAATAAGATATACATGTCATTTCAATGACGTCTTCCTTTTAAGATAATAGTATTTCAAATAAAGAGATAACTATGCATCCATTTTTTTTCTTATTTGAGACCTTATTTTGACAGATGAGGGAAAGAAAAGAAGTGTTTACACAAGATGGGGGAAGAAAAGGTGTCCCTCTGATACCGAATTAGTGTTTTCTGGTAAATGAATTTCGTCATTCTCCATACGATTGCTTAAAATAATTTAGGTAGTACAATGTAAATAGATTTTTCTCTTTGAATTCCTATGCAACAAAAGATTGAAGGGTAAATCTTTTTGAAAAGTTGTACAAGTTTATAAACATTGTTTATATATACGTGATACAGGCTTCGCTGCAGGATCATATCCTTCCGATAGATATATGAATGTGGAGACTATTTGTATACCGAAGGATCCGGAGTTGGGAATCAATTCTTTTAATACAATAAATAACTATGGATCCAATCTTTATGGTGCAATTTACGAAACCAGTAATTCTTATGAAGATCATGGTGTTCCCTGTGCTGTTTGTTTGGTTCATAATAGATCTGTTATAAAAGTATTTCCAGGTGAGAAGTATTATTACAATACTTTCAACTAGAACTAGTAATAAGAAAAAGTCGAAAATACCACTGATCAGAGCAAATTACAAAAAAACCTATATAGAAAATAAACTTTTCTATAATTATAACAACCTGTATCAACCCACTATCAGCCATAGGGCCGAAAGAGAGAAGCTTTCCCGTCGACCATCGAGGAAAGGAGTATTCCACTTAAGTATAGTAGCGTGGTCCCTTTTTACACCCTTGATTTACTAGTTAGATGTTAGCAAAGGGTATTTTGTTTGATTTCATTGTTTATAACAAAGTATTTCTAATTAAAGCATGGTTTATTTATAATGAATAATTAAACACATCCAAAAATGCAAACAAATTTTTAACACCAATCGCACAAAAAAATGCCGGAACAATTTCCCCCCGTCAGACTAAGTTTCTCTTTCACATAGAAATGGGCGGAGACATTTAGATTAGATACTATAAAAAGAAAATTCTTGATATATGATATTTTCCTTTCAATGACGAATTAATATATATTATAAGTTCAAGATTAACAATCAACTACAAATACAATTTTCTATTAACAAAACTTGAGCAATGAAACACTATAACAAGATTAACCAAATAAGTCCATGCTGACTGATATAAAACTGAGTACGTTTTAACTGAGCGCTATATATAGCTAGTTAGCACGTTTACTGAGGGCATTAACCCGTAACGACACAAATCCACGTGGCTTGTTATGATTCTAAACAGGTCATAAAGAGGTTAATGTAAATGAAGATATCGAAGAGGTGCAAATCACAATACATTTCATTAGAAAACATAGAGCACAAGTTCAACAAAGATGTTTTTACTCAAACTTTACATATAGAATATACACATTATATATCAAACTCGACTCTGAACAAACCTGTACTCGGAGTTTACGAAAGCTTTGAATCGGGATCCTGTCAGTGATTTCTTTTGATATTCATGAAATCAAATGACTCTAACTTCAACATGTAGCTTCGTATGTTGCGTATATCTATTACTTAACATTTTTAGATGATGACTCAAATAATAAAGACATTAGTCTATAATAAATTTAATTTTAAGGATTTTGATAATGTTCGAAATTTGACGAGTAACGGGGATCACAGATAAGTATTATTGAGACTTGTCCTTTTCTTTGCGAGGAATAAAATGCAAACACTTTGCCACATATACAAGATTACATAACGTTCTAAATAGTCAGATTTTACACAAAACCTAGTGTGTCTAGTTAAGTCTCTTCAAACCTTTTGACCTCAAAATTAATACTAGACGTCTTCTTTAGGTCATAGGGTGTTGTCACATAAATTAAACTGCAAAAAGGCCAGAGGCTTCTCGAGATATCGCATGGAAACGTGTTACAGACGGACAAAAATACATACATACGGACGGACAGGCAGACAGCTAGACAGACACATGGGCGAACAGGCATATTACATGTATCACCCACTCTTAGCGGGGTACAATAATGGGGAATATTACTGAATCTGCTGTAAGCAAATAATAATTACTAGATAACACCCAGTGTGGCAATGCACGTTGAAAAAATTACGCACTTTGAAAAAAAATTTAATAGTGCGTTAAAATTTGAACAAAATCAACGCATTTTGAAATTTTTTTCAAAGTGCGTTAAATTTGGGACCAACTCAACGCATTTTTTTTTTGCAAAAAAAATTTTCAAAGTGCGTTAAGAGTTTACATCTACATATTTTACACTGAGACACTTAACGCACTTTGAAAAAAATATGTATAAAACAAAACTTCTGGACTTTAGTAATGGAATGCATTGATTTTTTATTTATCTTTCGAAAAAATTATTGGTTGATTTACCCCCGTCGAGAAGAGGAGAAGAAAGGTAGAAGCTCTCTCAGCCCAATTCTATCTTTCAAGGCCAATGCATAGGCGTTGGTGGGAAATTAAACGGGGGAGGGAAGTAATAAACCCAAAAAGGGTAAGCTGATTTTTCATGCCTATATGATGTATATCTTTACAAAAAAACTGGGGGCTCAGCCCCCCCCCCTTTGCCCTTCGCCCGGTTTTGATGTCTATGCTGTATCTATACATGTATATGTATTTACATACAGTAACTGGTATGACGTTGAAAACTTTCAATAAATGAGGTAACTAAAACAGATGAAAGCTAAAAATTTTTAAGTACAGAAAAACCTATGAGACAGAAAGAATTTTCATAGTATTGAAAAATCAAATCACCTCTTTTTTCTTAAGAAAAATGTAATGCTTTAAGTAGTTTACTTTTAGCCCCCTCCTTCATCTACCTAACTTATTAGACTAGAATTAAAAAAAAACGAAATTATGATATTAAACAATCATCTTTCATTTTTTTCCTAAAAGACCTATTTCCCTATAAAATTTATCGAAACCTAAATTATTTAAATCGTCAATTAACGCACTTTGAAAAGAAATTTAAATTTTTCAAAGTGCATTAGATTACATGTAGTTCCAAATTGAACCCACTTTGAATTTTTTTCCAAAGAACGTAATTTTTCAAAGTGCGTTGTAACAACCCAGGGATATCACCGATGTAAGCAAATTACAATATTAACATTCTGGAATCTCACTGATATTCAGAGAAAATAGTGGCTTAAGAACTTTGGAGAGCAAAACCCAAAACAAATAAAAACAACTTTGGAAACCCGATTTCCTCAGTCTACCCTCTCTTTTCGAACAGAAATGTATAGGTTGGGGACCATCCGACCCGGTAGATATAATACTTGTATTTAGATACTGAATAAAAAGTTAAGGGCTTTTCTATTATAAAAGTGGTTGAAGTTCCCAATTAATTTTACGTCTTTTATTTACAGCTAGAAAGACTTGTTATAAAGGCTGGCGACTGGAGTACCAAGGATACCTCATGGCTGGTACATCATATGTATGTGTAGACAAACACGCAGACAAACTACCCAGTCCCAGGTTTCCTAAAACTTACAACATGCTTTTTTATGTTGGGGCTGTATGTGATGTTCTGAAATGTCCACCTTATGTTGGTGGAAAAGTATTAATGTGTGTTGTCTGTTCTAAATAATAAAACAAACATGCAGAAAAATAGTGCGACATAACGATTAACTTATCACTTGAACGAAAACATTTTTATGGTATGATATTTTTGAGCTACCATTTTTGAATTCAAATTGAAAATTGCTTGTTAAGGGTATAAGAGAGTGTATACCATTTGCTTCATTTGGACAAGTTGAATTAGTATCACTGTGTTGATTTTAATTCAAACTTTCCAGACGAAATGAAGTTTCCCTTCTCTCTTATGATAATATAAATATATTCCCAAATGTCAAACTTATCCGTCCGTTAGTCAATAAATTGCTCTTGACAAGCTCTTCTGTTCTTCTTTTTATCTTATTACGCATTGCTTAGGTTTCTTAATTTCCTAAACGTCAACTTTGAGGCTTCTTTAATAGACAAGCATGTAAGTACAGTTGTACCTTATATGAAAAGTAAAAATGTAAATAAAAGTAAAATGGCCATCATGTCTTATTTTGTCCGAGCATGTAACAATAAATGTACATGAAGCTCAATTTCAGTTATTAAAGGGAAAATCATATCCAAGTTAAAAAAAGCATGACAGTTTCCTTCTCTTCCCTGGAGTATCCTACTTTGTGACTATTTACCAGTTCCTTGTGCTTACAACGTTTATAGGAACTTACAATTTAGACCAATTGGCCGTTCAAGAAGCTGTAAGATAAGGAAAGCATCTGCAACACACCCTCACCGGCTAATAGTCACCCAATCGGAGCAGCGATTAAATCGTTAGCTTTATAGTCATGGCGTAAGGAATTGATGCTAACCTCCTGGTTTAAATCCACTGTTCGACATGAAGACCGGTATATCGGATTGATCCGCACAAAGCCGATATCCCTTGTCGCAGTAGATGCTTGCACGAAAGTTATTCCCCACTGCTCTAGGTTCGTAAGTAGTGAGAGCAGGTGTTTATTTTGATTGCAGACCTCTTTTGCAGCTTTGTCGTGGCGGCGTCTCCATGTATTTTACTAAATGTCACTAAAGGACTATAGGCTATAAGTTTTAACTTAAAACTAAATTGAATTAAAAAACGAGATTATTTCAATTTTCCATAGCCAACTTTCTTTCTTAAATTATTATATTAAACAATCAGTTGCATACGGTGTTTGTTTACATCTACCAGCACAGTACGTAGGGCTTACGACAGACCAGTGTAGAGGGTGATGCTTACTTTTCTTAGGTACATGTACCTGATAGCACCACTGGAATTCCAGGGGTATCTTTTTATGCACTTGTTCTAATTTGTATTATTTTCAGATTTTCAAAAATAGATTGATAACTAGTCGTTATCATCTTCTTTATTAACTTTATTTTTCGTCTTTATCCTTCAGAATAATTTTATGCATGTTTATCTCTCTCTTTATTACATGTAATATACTTATATTTCTCGTAATTTCAATGGCAAAGAAATTGACGAAATGTTTTTGTGTTCGTTATTTGACGTCTTTCTCGGGAATTTTTTTTTTTACTTTTATGGAGACGCCACCACTTGCTGATTGAGAGCTGTAGATAAATTTTGTCCTATACTCTTCACTCATGGCCTTTGAGCAGTAAGAGATCTTTTTCATGCCAAAATCTACTGCAATGCACGTTCTTAGAAAAAAAAAACAACCTGCGTTACCAGGGGTTTTGAACTGATCTGAATACATAAAAATGAAAACTTTTGCATTATGCAAAGAAAAATATACAAAAATACGAAACATAAATTCCAGATTTTATCCCCCATAAAAAATTGTTTTAGAAGAGGTGTACAAATCCATATATAGATATTAAAAGTATTACTAACAGGTCATTCATTTAGTGGAACTTTTATACTCCAGGGAAGATCATAAAGTTCAAACTACGTTGTGTATGACCTTAAATGGGTACATGTCTCCCTAATATATTAATTATGAAATTCTAATCATTATATCAAATCTATACGGATATCTAAAAATATTTATAACTGTTTAATTAGCAATAACCAATATCTTGCATTGAATATAATGCATTATTTAAAAAAATTATCAGTTAAGGGTTCTCAAAGCCTGTGACTTGTGACATATATCGGGAAAAGGTGCTTTTACTTCCGGTTTTATGTAGTTTGTGTACTGAAGATTTTCCTAGCAGCTCCTGTAAGAGAGTCTTAGAAACACCTTAGATAGAAAGGTTTTATTATGACAAAGTCCAACTCTAAACAATTTACAGGCAGTGTGAATCGATCCTGTATAGAACATCAATGCAAGACTGGGCAGGGGTTTTACTTTAAAAAAGACTAAAAATGTCTTGCTACAATTATTTTTAGTTCTTTTTAATATTAAAACTATTATTATTTTAGATAATAGAATATGATTTTGGTATATATCCTTTCACACTTGGACAAAATGTCATTTTAATCAAATTAATCACAATACATCACTGCTGAACATGTAATAAATATATATTAATTAATTTTGTCGCTAAAAATATTGGATAGAAAAATATGAAGTGTATCTTGAGTATTGATTGATTGATTGTATATTGTTTATTATTTCCTATCTAGCTTGTAACACGAGCTTTGATTGGTTACAAAGTCGGGTGTAAATATCCGTGCACCCGACTTGAGCCGGGTGTAAATAAAACGTGACGTCACAATGCATAGTTTTTCTATAATACAAAGCAAATCGATATGTTGAGACACACTCTAAAGCATTGTTATGGGTACAAAGGAAATAAATTCGTTATCCAGGTTCAATCAAGGGTGCCTCAGGGTGTATGGAATACAACCCGGGGTAAATCCCCGTACACCCTTGATTGAACCTGGATAACTAATAACGTCCCTCTCGAGAATTTTTCACTCATGTGGAGACGTCACCGTATGCCGTTGAAGGGCTTCAAATTTTGACCTTTACTCTGCACTCAGGGCCATTGAGCAGTGAGGGATCTTGATCGTGCCAACGCCTGCCGCTGACACGGGGCTTCGGTTTTTAAGGTCTCATCCGAAGGACCCGCAACTTTCACTTCAAAGTGCCGAGCGCATGGCGAAGGAACAGTTGCTACCCATTTTAACGACTAGGTCAGTCGCGGCCGAGATACGAACTCACGACCTCCCAATCACGGAGCGATCGCTCTACTCTGAGTATTGAAAGTAAGATCACTACAAGCCATCTTTGTGAGTTTTAATGAGGCCCAATAAAGTTAGAAGTCTATGGAACACAACACTCACCTTCTCATTTTTACCCTCTAGATTTGTTCCTCATCAGTTTTATGCCTCTTTTCATTTAATGTCCATAGAGAAAATACATTATATTAACGTGTAATAAAAGAAGAAACATAAGAGGGAAATCTTAAAAGGAAATCCGATTATGAAGAATGAAATGACTAAAAGTTGTCGGGTAGGCATTGTGGGCCGTGAACCTGTTATGCTGCAGACGAGTCGACGGCGAAGATATATAATTACTCCAGGTGCCATTAAGGAAGACACGGTATAAACATCGATATTATAATAAATATTTTGAAACCACCTCCATCCTGCATGTTTTACTCAAAATCAAATAAAAAGTATTTGATTGTAATAAGGAGACTCGAATTTTTCAATCATAATGACCACAGGAATGTTTTCTGTTAAAAAATGAAAACGATACTGACAGAACAAATAATTTATTTAGAAAACAATGACAAAAGTACACAAACATGATAGTTAAAAATAAGACAAAAGCGACTTAATGGTATCGGATCGCCATATTTTGTAAAAATAGTAACATGCGGCAGAATACATACTATTGCCTTGTTTTGGGTTTATCTGTAAACGACTTTTCTTATGGATTTTTCACATTTCTGCATGGAATTCGTCTAATGTTTTTCTCTTATTCAATAGAATTATGTATTTTTGCAAACGTTCTTTCTTTCTCAAGTTTAATAATGTCGCTATATCAAAGCCTTTGTATCAGTCTACATCGACTATTTGTTATTTCAGAAATCAAATTGAGTTTTAAACTGTTTGAAAACAAGTATAAATACCTTGTATACATTATCGGACGGGTAGGAATCGTGGCAATATTATCTTCTCTCGTCTCCCCGTCTGAACATTTTGCTAAAACTTCGTGCGATTATAAAGATGTTTTTACAAATACTCTTTCTCTATTTCGCTGGGTAATGGCTTCTCTTGGCTTTCTTCTTATGATTTTGACCCTCACCTATTTTATAGCCTTTTACGTACTACGGAAAAGTTTTCTGAAAATATCACCAATAGTACCAGGACACATAAAACAACTGAAAAAAAAAGACATTTTGTCAATTCAGTGAAATTGGTAGGTATCCTATTACTCGTGTCATTTGTATTTTCGGGTCCCTATACCGTGTCCCTTGTCTTTGATAGCATAGAAAATAATTCAAATTCTGACAAAACACTGATTAAAGTATCATTTATCCTTGTAAACGGAAACTGTTTTTTGAATCCTCTCATTTATTTTTTCAAAATACGCGAGATAAGAAATGCTCTTAAACAGTTGGTCTCAAGAAACACTGAATAACTCTGTACGATACTAAAGAAGTCGCCAAAATTTATCTCAAGGTCGTATACCTTTTCAAATGTTTCTCATTCATTCGTTCAAATAATGGTTCAAAATACACAGCGAAATGACCGAGTATGCATCTTTCCTTCACAATTTTTCACTAGTAATCTTATCTGAGCGCGGGGTATAATAATGTTTACGGTTAGAAAACAATGACAAAAGTACACAAACATGATAGTTAAAAATAATGTTTACAAAAATAAAGTTACTTTTGGTGGAGGAAGTGGTAGTGATTGGGATGGGGTAGAGGAATTCGAGATTATTACCATTGATAATTACCGTAAATATACGTTGAATGCACAAATAACCTTTTTGATTATAATTTCTATGTTTCATTCAGATTTTTAAGCTAACTGCGAAATATCTGCGGACAGTCCAATAATGGTTATATTTTGGCCCGATTTAATTGACATGACTTTTGTATTTCCGG